AAACGGTGTTTTTTTTCCGGTGGAGGGCTTAGATGAGATTTTTTTTGGCATTTTGCATCCCCATATACCCATGTTTTGGCCTTTCCCCCTCTTGCCCGCACAATTAAGTTTGAAATCAGATATTACAAGGTGCATAAAGGTTTGAATGGTTTACAACAAAGAGAGAATATAGTTTTACATGGAAATTCAAATCCAAATAAGGAACACAACTCCATAAAAAAAGGGTCAGTTGTGATAGTGCTAATAGGCTCCAATCATGGCTCCGTATAATTTATCTAGTAGTACTCTTCACAGTATGCTTTCTCTTTTTTTTATTCCTCTAGGTGTGGGTAGAATTCAAATTCAGCCCTTTCTCTCACTGATTTTCTTTGTATCCTCGGAGATTGCTTGCTAGTCATGATGCATACCCTTTATTTGAAGGCACATACTGCACAAGTTTATGACATTGATATAGTGAATGTTTATTTTTTTTTGGTCTGAAAACTTCTATTTAGAACTTATAACTGGCACAAACAAACCTAGAAAGCTGAGATAACCACGAGTAGTATATTAAACCAAAAGCAGATGAATTCAATGAGCATAATTGAGATCAAGACATGTGTCTATGCTGTGATTGGACAGGACTATGGCACAACTACTTCAAATTAGTCCACCAGCATCGCCTAAAAATCAATCTCCGAGCTGTAGCCAAGTACTCCTTATGAACATAGGTGTTGGTCAGGCATCGCCTAAAAGCAACAGAGATAACAACTTATAATTAAACTAGCATCCATGGACGCTTAGAATATGCGACAGTGTAGCTTAAATGGACATATGCACAATGCACGTGGATGATACTTTTAGTCTCAACTGTAACAGATGGAAATATAACATTCATCCCCCAATCATACAAACCAAAAATGCATTTCAAACATCAATAAAATAGCTTAAACTCAGGAGGCATCAACGACAAAATATATACCTTACATGCTGGAGTACGATAGTAGTGCTGGCTAATCCACCAAAAATTCCACCATACTTGTATGTCTTGATGTTGTATATATACTAACTATATCTTTACTATGAAAAACTTTCACACAACATAAAGAGATGGTGGTTAAGCTGTGTCTACGTTTTTGACCCAAAAAAAGACAAATAAACTTTATCCCTGCCAACGTTTGCCATGAAAAAGTAGACCAACAACAATTGGGTGGCAGCTAACTTCTTCTAATGTTGAACTTAGCCGAGTTTATCTTCACGCTTCACTAAGCGCATAGAAAAACAACTAACAAGATCTGAAATTCCTAACGCGCGCTTTTTTCTAATCATGTTAAGCACGCAGTTTTAATCGTGTTCTCCATTTATGACACATGTCATCTTACGTTTTGAAGTTAGTGGGGGTGGGGTGTACCTACACCCTGATCGATTCAAGAATTTCCCAAATTAGATGGATCAACTTTGAGCAATTTGACCACTTCATAAGTGGAGAGGCATTAAACTAATTGTTTCCATCTTTAGTTATTATACATACTTTAAGCATCTATGCATGTATGGGGCACTAAAATGTTTACAAATATGTAGACACTCCCCGATGTAACTAGACAATAGCTCTACGTAATCACTACAGTAAATCCATAAAGATGGGAAGTATATAGATCAATCAGAATCACGTACTGTTATGTTGTGATACCTTAATTTAGAGCCTTTGGAAGAAACTTGGTTGTTCAACACATGCGACACCTCGCCTCGAGAACAACTCATGCTCGACGAGGCTTTCTTTAAACTTGTGCCCAATAATTTTCAAACGTTGTGAGTTGTATTCCCACTGGAATTCCTCTAGCAACTTGCCGTCGCAGTCACAGTGGAACATGCGACAGTCACAAATATTGTAGACCAGCACATCTCCCTCATGGGACAAAACGCAATGGCGTGTATATGCAATGCTACTGCGACACAAGATCTCCGCTGGGAATTTAACATGGTACTTGAATGCCCAGACCTCCCTCTCGTAGTCCTCCAGTACCCAGATTGTAACGACTAACCTCAAATAGTCTAAGCAACTGAAGCCAATCGAACCTTCCATGTCACACAGATGAGCGGAGCCGCCGGTAGCACCAGCCGGGCAGCGCATGGACCTAAATGACTCGACCACTGTGTCGAAAACAAGTAGGCCAGCATCGTAGTGAGGCCAATCAGGTCCCCAGTGAAGGTGATTGCGGAACACGACGGGTGGGGCCAAATAACAAAGCTTCATGCCAGGGCTATCCGAAGGAACCACGATGCAGCTCGGCGAGCCCACCGGCACCGTAAGGATGTAGTACACAGCTGCTTTCCGGTAAAGGACACGGTACTCGCGGGACTTGCGATGCAAGTACAGTGCCGCGATTTTGATGTCACCTGCGGTGGGGAGGTCCGGGAGTGAAGCGCACTGGCGCGTGGCTGGGTTGCAGATGCTGAAGCAGCCGTTAGACATGCTTAGCAGGAGAAGGCCGTCGCAGGAGGCGTGCAGCATGCAGCCATCGTGGTCATCGAACCCGAGGACAGGCCGGCTTCGGCCTCGCCCCAAAACTCGGTGGCCAGCCTCTCTACTTGAACTGGCCGTGCCGCCGTAGAGCACGGCGAGGGGGAGCGACGGCTGACGCCGGTGGTGGGCGAGGAGGAAATCGGGGGCGGAGGCGAGGCGGCTCCAGGAGCGGCAGACCGCACGGCAGCGGAGGATGTCCCTGGCAGGGAGGCGGACGAGGATCTCCCACACCACGAAGTCCTCCGGGAGGCGGTGGAGGGCGCGGCGACTGCGTGTCCGCCTCGCCACAGGTTCCCCAACGGCCTCACGCTCGATCGCGACAACGTCGTCGCCGGCGGCGGCCGTAGGGCTTTGGGGGAGGACAGACGCGACCAGTATCCGCCGCCGTATACCCTGCGTGGAAACTGGGAGGCCCTGCTTTGTCCTGGCCATCGTAATGCCCTAGTTGCCGAGAGAGATTGGAGGATTGAGTTAGGTTTTGTGCGGGTGGAACGGA